CGCAATGTTTTGTTTTTCGATATGTTTTTTTTTATTTCTGTTTGAAGGTTTTTGAAACCCATCTATAACAGTCATCATCCATAGCCCCGAAATTCTTTTTTTTTTTTTTTTGTTTGTTTGTTTGTTTGTTCACCGACAATATTTAATTTACATGCGTACTGGTTAAGAATCAAGGAATCCAAAAACAATGATGATGATAATCAGAGATTTTGTTTTACTTAAAAAAAAGATTTTTCTCACTGTTTTTTTTTTTTTTTTTTTTTGACAATGAACTTTGGATGACAACAACTAATATTTTTGACAAAATCCAAAGTCGAATCAATTGAAAAAAAAATGATTGATTCGATTGATTGATATAAAAAAAGGGTTACTTATTGAATTCCATTTATTATCATTCATCATTCATCAGTCATTCATCATTAATAAGTTTGTTGTTGTTTTTTATCCAATTTTTTCCTACAATGATGATAATGATGATGGCATCATCATTATCAAACACATCAACATAATAATCATCAAATGGATTTAGGTTACATTCGTTGTCGTCGTCGTCTTTGTTGTTGTTGTTGTTGTTGTTTGATTGGTAGCCTCAAAAGTACCAAGGCAACCAATCAATCTCATCATTCCATCACCACCACCACCACCACCACCACCACAATCCACCGGCGGTTGGTGAGTGCGAGGAAAAAAACCAATCCAGACCATTTGCAAAAACAATTTGTAATTTGATTAACCTTGAATTTTGAATTTCAATTCTTTTGTTGGTATTTTTTTTTGGAATGCAGAATTAAAATTTAGAGAAAAAAAATTTTGTTTTCGCCCGGAAAAGCCCAATGATAACCAAACCAGACTGATTGATGGAATTGACCTCAATGAAATAAATAATATATATCCGTTCACTTTTTAGCTAAATAAACTCTCAAAAATATATTCATTTATCGTAATGTTGTCAAAACAAACAACAACTGATGATGAAAAGTTTGATTAGCACAAATGTGGAACATGCACATAAACAATTTTATCATCAAAAAAAAATTTTTTTTTTTTTTTTTTTTTTGGTCTACATTTTTATGGCCATCATCATCATCATTTCTGTTCTATTGGGAGCATTTTTGATTTTTTCTTTTTTTGCTCTCTGGATTCAAGGTCGAAATCCTGTCATTCCTTTCACACACACACACACACACACACACACACACAGACACAAAAGATACGCCAAACACATACACATATAGCACCATATACAAACACAACCAGCCATGAGAATCCACCACCACTTCTACATCATCATCATCATCATATTACACCACTACCAGTAAAAAAAAAATACAAAAAAATTTTTTTTTTTTTTTTTTGGTTTGGCCAAAAACAAAAAAAATGACTATTTTCTGTCTTTACACTTTAATCATCATCATCATCATTTATAATTTTATATCTAGAGAGAGAGAGAGAGAGAGAGAGAGTTTTTTTTCGTTTCATGTTTCGTTCAACTGTGTGTGTGTGTGTGTTTGTGTTTTATGGGGTAGTGGTGAAAAAAATGATTTGATAATTTTGTTTTTCCTTTTTTTTCCATTCAGGTTTTACACGATTTGATGATGATGATGATCATTATATATTTCTTCCATTCATTCGGTGACAAATATTGAAAATGATTAAAATAATCAAAACTTGAATGTTTGCCAACTTTGAGTTTGAAAAAAATTTGCTGTAATTTAAAGTATTTTTTCCGAAAAAAACTTGACGATGATCATGCAATGTGTTCAATTCAAACGAATGTAAATGATACAATGATCCCGAACAAAATTCCTTGGAATTTTTTATTTTGATTGCAAAAAAAAAATTCATGAATCGGTGTTCCATTTGTCTGTGTGTGTGTGTGCGTTTAATTCATTTTCGGAATATTCAATTTGGACCATAATTGAAATTGAAATATAAATTTCCAAAGAATACAATAACAATTCCAAAGAATTCTTGGTTGTTGTCGTTGTTGATTGTATTGAAATTCAAGGCAATTCTAGTATAGTCGATTTTTTTTCAAGGTAGCAATGACATTCACACTCTTCGCGCGTGTGTGTGTGTATGTTTGTTTTCACGCAATTTCAAATTTAAGCGTGCATTGAAAAAAAAAAGAAAAACTTTTTCTTTCGACAAAACAAGGAAAAAAATTCATTTTCGTCGTCGTCGTTGTTGTTGTTGTTGTTTACCATGAATGCAACAAATAACCAATTATTATGCGGTTCAGGTTGTTGGCATTTAAAGAAATGGTTTTTTCGCCGTGCTTGGTTTCCTTTGCCATGATACCATCAGCCACACCAATAATAACCGGCTACAGAATCATTATAAATTTAAGTGGAAATAGAAATTACAAGATACTGCAACAACAACAACAACAACAAATCCATCAACAAACAAACAAAAAATCTCAATTCCCTACTGATATACACCCGCCGGATTATCAGTGTGTGTGTGTGTGTGTGTATGTTTCGGTTGGTTTCGTCTATTTGATTGATTCGTTTTCGCTGTTTTTGTTGTTGTTATTGTTTTGTAATCTTCTTCAAGTTTGGATCAATTCCAGACTTTTTTCCCTCATTTGTATTTGGTTTTTTTTTGGTTGTTTATGTTGATTCCAATGGATTTGAACGACGATGAAAAAAGTAACAAGAAAATTCTTCTTTGCCATTGTGTGTGTGTGTGTGCACTTGTAATTTTTTGTTTAATTTTACGACGCGCCCAATTCATCGTCAAAAAGTGTACGAGAAACATTCATTCATTCATACTTGAACATCAACACATTATGGCGCCCATTATATTAGTTTGTGTTTCATTCAAATGGATGATCGAAATGATTCGACTCAAATGACATCATGAAAATGATAATGGCCTGGTCCATACAAAACACAAATATATATTATAGAAAAAAAAACGGGTAAAGGCTATTACTATTCAACTTTTGGATCATTTCTTTACTCATGGATGGATGTAGTGGGCTTCTTTACCAGAAAAAAAACCAATCAGACACCACCCATATTGTCCCCATCCCTCCACCAAAAAAAAAAAAAAAAAAAACAACAACCATTGCCCATCCACCATTATTATCCTCGTTGTCGATGTGTGCATGAACTGAAAAAGAAATTATATATATGTTTGTGTTTAGTCGGTGTTTATGGGTTTCAAGGTCAAAGTGTGCGTCGTCGTCATCATCATCATCGTTGTTATTGGTAGTACATTGTCATTTTGGGTATGTATGCGAGTATATGGAAGCCATCAGAATGTTTAAAAATGGTATAAAAATGCGCCTGACTGCAAAAAAAATGATGAGAATGATCAAAACCAATAATAAGCTCAATAATATACAGAAAAAAAGGGAAAAAAAATGTTGATGACGATCATCAAACTTTCTCTCTCTCATACACACACACACATAGACACAAACACTCGCCCACATACATACAAAGCACAATGATCGAAAACATGCAACACAACAACAACAACAACAACAATACATTATCCTTACTTCTTCTTCTTCTGTAAAAAAAATTCCAAACAAGAAAACACCATCACACACACAAATGTGGATGTTCAAAAAAACTTTTGTTTTCCTTCCATTTCGCTATTGAATTTGATAATTTAATTTTTAAACTGATAAAACAACGCCATCTATCAATGCTTCAAGTAAATGTGTTTTTTAGTTAGATTTTTCGAGAAATTTGAAAAAAAACATACACATATCAGGAACAAAAATGAATAAAAAATTGAATGAACACCATGTCATCGAACGAATTGTTTAATCAGATTTTTCTTTTGTAAATTTTAATGTTCGTTTTTTTTTATCATCATCATAAAATATAAATGTAGTATATCAAGCGCCGTAACTAAGCGACAATTTGACTTTATACGACTTATATCTTGTTATAATATAATTAGTGTAAATGTTTTTTCTTTCTTTTTTTTTGTTGTGAGAAATGGTTATATATATGGTTCTCCTGAAATTCAGATAGTTTAAAAGAAACATTTTAATGATGAGCATATCATGTAACAACAGCAATAATGATCACGATAATTATCATTAGATCGATCGATTATATAGCAATAAAAAAAAATTTCTGTATATTTGTCTATAATCCACGTTGTTTGGAACTTGAGCACTTATTCTTCGTCTTCAATCGTCGTGTGGTTGCCATTGAACTTTATGGAATTTCGTTGTTGTTGTTGCTGTTTTTTTCAATAATTTTGGCAACCAAACGGAAATTTTTTTTGTTGTAAACACGCGCATAACACCATCTAGTGTTTAATTATCGTCATGGTGGATTGTTGATTGGTTAAAAAAATAATGGAAGCCACAACCAGACACACATATGGCAATATTATTGTGATTGGTGAATTGAAATATCGATCATTTTTTGTTGTTGTTGTTATTGTTATAATGCGTAGTAGTCTCCTACCTGTTGTCATGATTTATTTCCATATTTTTTTTTCTAATTCATCAATCGATCACTGCTATAGATGGATCAATTTTTGATCTTTGATCAATGATCATGGGCTTTCAATTTTGGTGCGATAATCTTGTCTACTGATAAAAATTTTGATTCATTGAATTCAATCAATCAATCAATTAATCAATCAATCAACAAACAAAATCCAATGGTCCAATGTCATTTGATAAACAAAGGTTAATGAACGTATCTTGATGCTCAAGCTCTCTATCGTATCATCATCATCAAAAAAAAATTTTTTTCTCTCTATCTCTTTGATTATCCATCAATCGATTTGAATACAATGTATTGATATTGTTATTTTCAATCATCATCATCATCATCATCGTCATAAATGAATCAATAAAATCAAATCATGATCAAATGTTTTTTTGTAAAACAAAAAAAAAGTAAATAACTTTTTTACAATATGTGTATCATTATTGTTTTTTTTCTCTCACTAGATTTCCAATTCTGATTAATCGATTATAATAATAATTTCAATTTCGATGTCATGTGAGTGTATTTTATGATTTATTTTTGTATTTATATTTGATCATCATCATCATCATCATACAATCAAAATTGATTGATTTATTGATTGAGATTAGAATCTTGGATGGTGTACAGAAATCCCAAATATAATTATGATAAACTCTTTCCACCAACACTTGATGGTGCTGTGATGATGTGTGTTTTTTTTTATGTGGTCGACCATATCATCATCATCATCATCGTTATCAGCATCAATAAATTGGTTACCATCACAATCCGACCTCCAAAAATCCTCACATTTTGCCGAATGAAAGTCAAAACGACTGAATATTTAATTGATTGATTTGAATTGATATTGACACACAATGTTGTTACAAAGTTCATTCAATTCAAGATAAACCTATTGATTCCTATTTGTTTCTCTTTTTTTTCGTTTTGTTTTCCATCATTCAAATTTCAACCTATACTTATCAGAAGAAAAAAAAATGATATCATCATCATCAACATTCATAACGATTCTAATTACATGGCCATTGTTTTGGTCATTACAAACAATAAATATACATTGTGCCAACAATATCAACCACAACGACAATGTTGTTGATGTAAACACGCTTAAATTTGTCATTCTAGTATGTAGTGGCTGATTTTTGATTATGATCAATTGAATCAAACATTTAATGTTTTTTTTCCCACACAATAGATACATCGTCATGGTGATCGAACACCGATTGAAACATATCCACGTGATCCATATCGTGATGGCCAAAAATATTGGCCCGATGGTTGGGGACAATTAACATTGGTAATATGAATGCAATTGATGATTAAAATTTCTGGAATTAAAAAACAACAAAAAATTTTTAGGATGGAAAAAAACGAATGTACAATTTAGGATTATATCTATCGAAACGTTATAGTGATTTTTGGGCAAATCGCCACGTGAAGCATTCATTCGTAGTTCTGCATCTGATCGTTGTCTGGAAAGTGTTTCATTAGTTTTGGCTGGATTATATCCACCCAATGACAGATGGAAATGGAATGATAATCTGGGCCAAAAATGGCAACCATTTCCAATACAAACAGTTCCACATGATATTGATGGGGTAATTAATTTTCAAAACAAAACAAAAAAAAAAAAATACCAATACCAATACATTAATCATTTTCAATATTCATTTATTCATTTCATTAGATGTTAAATCCTCAATCTAAATGTAAAAAAGCTGAACAAATTCTAGCGGATATCTATAAATCCAAATCTGTTATTGAATATTATAATCAAATGAAGGTATTGTTTGTAAAAATTTTGAATTCAATTTGTAAATCATTTTTTCTCCTTCTGATTCACACACACACACACAGTCAACATTATTATATGTACAAGACAATACTGGCTATGAAAATGTGAATCTGATAAAAGCTGAAGAAATATTTGATTCATTATTGAATGAAAAATTGTTTGGTTATAAATTACCAGCATGGGTGGACACGAATATTTATACGAAACTTAAAGAAATTTCCGATAAAACATTCATATTCGATGCTATGACCAGAGAGATTCAAAAATTTCGTGCCGGTTTATTATTAGCAGATATATGGCAGCATATTTCCAATCATGAATTATTGGATAATGATGATGATGATGATGATAATAAACATCGTCTGTACATCTATTCGACGGTATTTTTAAATTTCCATTTATTCTCTCAGAACTTTTTTTCATTCTTGTTTCCATTTTATTTAGCATGATGATCAATTGTCCGTTTTTATGAGCGCTTTGAATAATTTCAATGGTATTGCGCCACCATATGGATCAACGATCATGATGGAAATACATCAAAATCATACGGATGAGTCATTTATACGAATGTATTATTTGAATGTAACTGAAATGGAAAATCCATATCGATTAGAATTAAAGGATTGTTATTATTACATAAAACAACGGCAACTAATTCATGGATCAAATCCAGACCAATGTACAATAACAAATTTTTATGAAACAATCAAAGATTTATTGCCCAATGATTGGAATGTTGAATGTGAAAATTCATCATCATCCACAGCAGCTGATCGTATGTGTTATTAGATTGATTAATGAAATTCTAATGATAATTTTATTTTTTTTTTGTTTGTCTCCATCATTTACACAGCATTAAGTATTTATCTAGTTTTGATCACCATTTCATTGACCATTTCGGTAATGTTATTCTTTACATATCTACTTGTGAACCACCGACGTTATGGATCATCATATCGATTATTGCCAATAATAAATAGTTAGGATTAGGATATGATTGAAAAAAAATTGACACGTGATATAGAATTTTTTTTAAAATTTGAAATTTTATTTTTTTGAAAAAAATCCAACAATTTGTACAAAAAAAAGAATTCCTATAAATAAAAAGAACAAAAAAAATACATTAATGATTTTGTCCAATGAAATAAATCGATAAATCAATCAATGAATCAATGAAATCAGGGTAACTATGACTTGTGAATCATTTTTGTATTGAATTTGTCTCGCAAACTCAAAACATTCAACTATGAATGTGATATGTTTTCATCCTAAACGTTTTTTCTCTTAATCATAGAGAGATTCTCGTCACAAAACGCTTACCATTTTCAAAATTGGAATTTTCGGTCTGTCCAGTTATTATTTCGATCATTCGTCCTATGCATGATAAAATAGAAGAAAACAAAACGTTCGAAAATTAGCAAAAGTGAATGTTGCTGAAAAACAAATTTATAGATTATGTTAAAGGAAAAAAGGATATTTTTCAGAACGCTGTGGGAAAAGACTAATCATAGCTTGTCATAAAATATAAAAATGAATCATCATCAGAAGCAGAATTTTTTTTTGTTTGGAATTTTTTTTGGAATCATTTGCTTACCTTTTCCGATGATGATGTGATGATATATGGTATTTTCATTTCTATCTCATTTGTTGATTATTTACTCGATCGATCCAGTCCGTTAAACTTATTACGAACGTTGTTTTCAATTGTTATCTCGGTTCGGAACAAGTTTAACAGAATGGAATCGAGTTTTGTTTTTTGTTGTTGTAGTTGTTGTTGTGAAATATGTCCAATTCAAACACAATGAAGAAATAGAAGGCAAATATATCAAGCTACTACTACTACTACATATCGTTTTTTTTGTATTTATCATTTTCAAACAAAACAATCGTTTTTGACAAAATGAAAGGTTTTACTTTTTCATAATAATAACATTCTATAAATCAGAATATTATAGAAGAATCACATTGTGAAACACACATACACACAAATTACGTGTGTAAGATGCTACAATCGTAGAGAGAGTTATTCATCATTTTTTTCAAATATAGAATATCATATTGAAAATGAAAAACAAAACATTTTGTTTGTCAACGATTATTGGGAAAATGAAAAATTCAAAAAAAAGATCGACATGGCCATCAAAATTTGCCAGCATAGAAACAAAAAATTTGGACATATCAAAACAGAAAAACAAACCTCGATTCCTTTTTGAAGAAACGCAAGAAATTTTTTTTTTTTTTTTTTTGACGAATTGGTAAATGGCAAAATATTTATTAGATTTTCGGATATTTTATATAAAAAAATGAAAATGATGATGTGAAACATCAAATTTTTTTTTCGTTTAATGAACTCATTTGCCTTTCTTTGCTTTGATTTTACGTAGGTAAAATTCCAATTCTTTGCCTTCGAGAATGTAGCCATCAGCACGACCAACTTGACCAGGACGAGAGGCAATACAAGCTATACATACAATAATATAAAAGTTAAAGTAAAGAATTAGATGACACAAACACACAAAATTATAAAATCAATAATTTGTCAACGGAAAAATAATAATCTAACAATGCTGATTTTGGCGTGTGTGTGTGCATGCCATTTGAACAACATGGATCAATATGAGACACAAACACAAGATAAAATCGATTCATAAAATAAACTTACCTAAAACACGACCAGTCATAAATTGTTCTTCCAATGCCTGTTCAACTTTGGCATATTTTTGACGAAGTTTGTATTTCGAATGTTCAGCTTTTACGGCCATTTGATCGGCAACTTCTTGTTCGGCTTGAGTCTTTATGTGGATAGGAAAAAAAGTTATCATTATTAATATAGATGTCGGAATAATCACAATTATTATTATATAGAAAAATTAAAGTTTTCAGAAACAACATTCTCTATCATAGGTTATTCAGCCGAAAGATGGTATATATAGATTTGCTCATCACTGGCAACGCATATTTTGAAAAATGAAAATTTTTTGAAACAAAAAACTTACCAATTTAACTCCTTTCTTACGACCCATCATCATAGCATAATGGCCTTCATACCATGTTCGAAACGGTGTAGCATCGATAAGAACAATACAATTTTTGACCAATGTTTTCGTACGAACCAATTCATTGTTGGATGAATTGTAAACAACATCTACAATACGTGTCTTACGTGTACAATCTAATTGGAAAAAGTAAATAATGTAATTTTTGGTCCATAATTTAATATATAAAAAGAATTCATTACGTTCAGAAGCCCAAGAAAAATTGCCATGATCAAGACGTAGAGCACGATGTTTCACATTTCCACCACGTGTACGCACCAAATGAATACGTTTAACACCAATCTGTGTAAATCGAATGAAAAATTTTTTTTTGATGAGAAATATAAAATTAAAAATGAAAATAGATAACTGTAGAAAATTCAGATAGAATGGATATAATTTCATCAACAAAAAAACTGATTGCAGATGACACGCATGAAACATCATTTCAAATATTCAAAGGATAAAAAATTTTTGATCCAAAAAAAAAATTCCTTACCTTTGTATTGGCTGCTGGTCGTCCTAATTCAAACTTACGCTTCTTACGAATTGGTTTACGTTTACCACCAGTAGCTCGTCGTTTATGCCAATGATTACGTGAAATACCTAGGCACAAAAATCAAAAAAATCAATCGAAATATGAGAATACAAGTTGAACATTGTCAGCGTGACTATATTTTGGATCTTTTCCATCGAAAAACTAAGAAAAACCTAGCCAACTAAATGTCTATCAATTGAAACTCATTCTTGTGATTAAAATGAAACCAATTTCAAGAAAAAATTCAAATCCTAACATCGAAAAATGATGGAAAATATCGGAGAGAATGGTCAAACGTGCTTACCCATGTTGAACTCACGCCGGAAAAGGCTAAAGCATGCAGTCGACAAGCAAAGCAGCAAGTCTTCCTTTCAACGCGGCTAGAAACTTGAGCATGCTCATTGTTGAATGTCAATTGATCCCCATCTATCGTTTATTGCTCAAAATCGAATTCTTTACCATTGCTGTTGAAATAGTGTATACTCTGTTAAAACAGTTTCGAATGATTGTTTTTCTTATTGTAATTGTTTCGTTCTTTTAATTCTGTTTGATGTTCTCATTTTATCAAATTAACTTTAAATTTGAATAAATATGATCAAATTATCATCAGGACACGAAAACAAATCGAACAAAAGTAGCCACAAAAATGATGCAACTCATGAAAAATTGGCACGTGAAAAGAATTCTGCGTCAAGCAGTACAATTGTGGCTCATTTTGGCGCCGATTCAGTAAAAATGATAGCCGAATCTATTGGAATCGCAAATTTATCTGATGATGCAACTAGATTAATTGCCGATGATATTACAATGAAGCTAAAATGTGTAGCTCAAGATGCTATGAAGTTTGCCGTTCATGGCCGACGCACGATGATGTCTGTTTCAGATATTGACCATTCGTTGAAACATAAAAATATACCTCCAATGTTTGGATATACAGATAAAGAATTGCTTCCATTTCGGTTTGCATCGGGTGGTGGACGGGAATTATATTTTCAAGAAGAAAAAGAAGTCGATCTTCCCGATATACTTGGCATGTCTTCGTTGGCCAAACTGCCTCAAGATGTGGCCATCAAATGTCATTGGCTAAGCATTGAAGGTGTTCAACCAGCTATACCAGAAAATCCACCACCATTATCAAAAGATCGTCTCCGTTTGGATGGTATCGATCCATCTTTGGTTTTGAAACTTCAAAATACACCCGGTATTCAAACAAATAAATTTATCACACAAAAACCAAAGAAAATGGTGGAAGTTATCAAGGTAAAACAATATGCCACCCATGAATTATCGATGGAACAACAGCTCTATTATAAAGAGATTACTGAAGCATGTGTGGGTTCCGATGAAAGTCGACGTATCGAAGCACTTCAAAGTTTAACTTATGATTCTGGACTACATCAAATGCTTCCTCGATTATGTACATTCATTTCAGAAGGTGTAAAAGTCAATGTTGTTCAAAATAATTTAGCTTTGTTGATCTATCTAATGCGAATGGTCAAAGCTTTATTGGACAATCATAACTTATATCTGGAGAAATATCTTCACGACCTTATACCGACTGTATTGACGTGTGTCGTATCTAAACAACTATGTTTAAGGCCCGAACAGGATAACCATTGGGCATTAAGAGATTTCGGTTCCCGTTTAATGTCCCAAATATGTAGAAATTTCAATACAAATACGAATAATATTCAAGTTCGTGTTACACAATTGTTGAGTCATTCACTAGACAAAGAACGGATTGCTCAATCATCTTTATATGGAGTGATTGCTTGTCTTTGCGAAATGGGACCAGAAGTTCAACGGGCTTTCCTACTTAAACGCGTCAAAATGATTGGCGATCGCATCCGTACCAATGTGGAAGGTATGAACATTTCGTCCGCTGATAAGGCAGCTGCTGGCCATATTGAATCACTTATACTTAGAAATTTACCAACGACGATAAAAAATTTACGTACTCCCCCTGATATTGTTGGAGAATATCGTCAAGATTATGGATATCTAGGTCCACAATTACATATGGCTGTCGTAAACCTACGTTCAAAAGAAGGATCAAATACACATCGAATTAATAGTAAATATCAATCAGTGTTAATTAAAAAAAATTTTTTAATTTTAATTTGCAGTTTCAGGTAATTCTCAATCGACTGGTGGATCGAACCTTCCGTATCGTCGTGTGAGTAATATATCATCAGGTTCATCGACGTCGCAACAAGCAAAGTATGCAATCATTTCTTCATCGCCTGGTTCATCAAACGTCGGGTCTACAAGCGGAAGCGGTACTGGATCGGGTAATGTTACAATGTATCGAATGATTCGATCACCGGCCACTTCACTAGGACGAAATAATGACTGATGGGTAAAAAGTTTAAACCGATTTATTACTCTTCCATCAGCATGTTTCCCGAAAGCATAAAATTATTTTGGGGAGATCAAAAGAGATCATCATCATCATCATGTAGCAAAACGAGCATCATCACTTTTTCCATTGTTCTGACAAAATATTGAAATCATTTGTTGCAAATAATAAAAATCCTGATAAAATCAATGGTCATTCGATTCATTTTAAATTCAATTCAATTCATTTTTGATGCATTTTTGCTTGTATATTGAAGGCGCCACTGTCAACCATATGTTGAATTCTCGTTACTTTTTCTGTCAACTGATGGTGCCACTTGTTATTAAAATAATTTTAATTCAACTAAATGTACAAAAATTGACAACAGATGGCAGCCTGCCATGCACATCAAATTGAATAAATTCAAATATATATCAACGATACATTGGTGAAAATGAATTTGATTAATAGACCTTTGAAATTTGAAATTGTTATTTTTGCTTTCAATCGAATTGAATTTGTTGTGTTCATGACCATAATGTGTTGACCAAATTTATTTATATAACGATGATGATGATGATGATTATAATAAAGTTTTATTTTTTTTTTTTCATTAAAATATACACATTTTCCAAATTCAAATATTTGGATTCCACAATTTCCCAAGTGAATGGATTTTTTTTTGTATTCTTTATTCGTTCGGAAATCCGGTTTCACAATAATTCAATATGCAAACACACACACACACACACACACACGTACGCACTCAAATATAACACCAACAAGCTGTTACACATTTTTTCATTTGATTTTTTTTTTTTTTTTGATGAAATCAAAGCAACAAAACAAAATCCAATTAATCGCCATTAATGCAATGGTAAACACGTTCATTTTTTACTATGTAAATGTGTAATGTACTTTACAGACTCACACACACACACACAGGTTTTTCGAATTGGATACTCACATTTTTTTTTTGTTGTTGTTGTTGATTTGTCGGGATCTCGAGTTTTTTTCACAATGATAATTCTTACCCCAAAATTCAAAGTTGAGCACTTTGATTCTCGACTCCAATTCATTTGTTTGGTCATTAGTTTGAATTTTATTTATGTTTAGATAATAATTCTGCAAATTACTCAGTATATGGAACACATATGGAATATATTGGTTTCTTTAATAATAATAATTTGCATATATTTTTTTTGGGGGGGGAGGGGCCGTGGATGAAAAAAAAACTTTTTCTTTCTTTTTTTTATTCTCTCTACGGTCCGGCTGGAAACTAATTATCATGATTATTATTATTATGAAAATATTGAATGTGACGTCAATGAAATCAGAAAACAGCAAAAAAAAACATAGTATTGGTGGGTGGGTGGAATGCCGTTATTTTTTTTTCTTCTTCTTTTTGCATTTATAATGCACAATTAACGCCTTCTCAATCATGATAAAAATGAAAACCTGGATATTATTACCGTTTTGTTTTGAATGATTTATATTCGGATTTTTTTTTTGTTGTTGTTGTTGTTGTTGTTGTTGTTTCGTTTGGAAATAAATATTTAAATTATTTATATTCAATTTTTATTTTTTCGATAGAAAAATAGAAAAACAATAGAGAAAATGTTTTGTTGTTTGTTATAATTTTGATAGATTCAACATAATGTTGTTGTTATTAACATCTTTTTGATAATATGGTACTGCTGGTAGTGATGTTGTTTGTTGTTGTTGTTGTTGTTGTTGTTGTAAATGTTTTTGACGATTTTTTTCACGCCATAAATTTGCTTCAATCGTATATTCAATAATATTATTGCCAAGAAAATAATCTGTACATAAAACATTCATACATTGCCACCATTCATCAAAAACATTGACACTTAAATCATGATTGATCTGTTCGGCTAATGATCGAAGACCATCATATTTGTCACGTAAAAGACCAAAAAATTTTGGTGTCAATGCACCCATCAATGATACTGGATACGGAGTGGATGGTGAACGACATGAACGATCATTTAGATGACGAAATAAAATGCCAGGATCATCGCTACCAGCCCAAACATGTAAAGCATTTGTATGAAAAAATTGCCGATTACGATGATCACGTGCATAACCAATGTAAACACGTTTATTCATGGCAATTAATTCACGTAATGGTCGATTCCAACCAATATCTACCGGTATAAGAAATGAACCCAGATAATCATTAATTAAACGTTCAATAATTGAATGACGTTCATCAATATCTGGTAATGATTCTTGAAGGCCATCTTCAAATCGATGAAAATCCAGTATAATAATCTCTTGATGTGTTGATAATAGAAAAGCAAGAACTTGTTCCAAAACATCAACAAGTAATATATCCACTTTGACCATACCATGTGCAATCCAAACACGATCACGTTCATTTTTCTGTTCATTATCATATGCTAATCTTAGGTCAAGAAATCTGGAAAAATTCAAAATTCAAAATTTAAATTTTAAAGCAAAAAAAAAATACCACATCACACATACCGTATACCATAGATTAATTGATTCCATACGGATTCATCTTGACAATAGATATATTTATCTAAACGTGGAAAATTCATTTTACCAGATATTTCATAACTAGCTGCATTATGTGTACCGGGTAATGCTAATTCCAATATAGAACGATGACCAATAAATGGCATTGAATGTTCCATCCATCTGGGCCTAGTACGTAAACATTTTTTCACCACAATACGACGATTATATTGAATATATGCAATCCAATATTTAATGCAACCAGACCAAAGACTTGATGATAATTTTGTCAATGCACTACCATTACCAGAACGAAGAAAATCATTGAGGTAGCGTTTATTTTTATCATTAAAAAATGCCGATTCAAATGAAAAATATTCATATGATTTTGCTGTTATATGTTTTCCAGTAGTGGTGATTGGAAATATTCTTTCGATGAAATTATAATCAAAATTACTTGTAGTTGGTTCAACATCATATAAAGCAATCCATGAACTATAAAGATCACGACGATCAATATGATGCCAATTCAATACAAGACGACGATATGGTTTCGATGAAATTGATAACCATATTTGTGGACTAACTTGAATAAAAAAAAAAAAAAAAAATTAATTTTAACCATAACATAACATTTGACTGTGTGTGTGTGCTTACTATTCATTGGTGAACTACGTCTTGGTGATGATAAAACAATGGCATTGCTCGATGATGATGCTGATGCTGATGCTGATGATGATGATGATGACGATAATGATAATGGCGATGTTTTTGTTACAATAATAAATTGATTATTAATAATAATAAAAATCAATGTAATTAACAATTTAAATGATGATGATGATGATGAATGAACAATTTCAAACGATAATTGATGATTGATAATCCGAAATATTGAATAATCATACATTATAACTAGAATGCTTTTTGAAAAAAAAAATTAATTTATCAGATTTTTCGATGAAATGATAATGATGATGATGATGATTGTCTTATAATGATGGTGATTGAAGATGCCATTGCCACTACAATTATTATATTCATTCTATTTTGTTGCATTCAACAAAAAAAAAATCATTGTCGAGAACATTAGAAAGTCAATGAACATGATCATCATACATATACAGATAGAGTGACATAATAATAAAAAACACATTAATTCGTTTCTTTTCTGGTCTTTGCACTATGAATGAATGAATGAATGAACGAATGAACGAATCGTATATAGTGAATGAAAGTGGTGGTGATCCATTGGTTATTCAATTGGTTATTGTTCACAACCACATCCATCATGTCCCTCTTCATGGTGTATAATATAATAGGGAAATTCAAATCTTCTATTAATCAAAATTCATCTTTTCATTTCAGATAAATTGTTGGCGATGTTATCGTTGTCGTTGTTGATAATTCAGGAAGCATTTCCAAATGAAAAAAAAGGCCAATTACATCGTGTTAATAATTTTCATTTTTTTCCCTTGTCACTTTTATTTCTTCTTTCATTATAAATAAATAAATGAATGGATGACAATTGATGGTTAATCAAAAATATTTATTTATTTTGAATTAGAAAGAAAATTAGTCGTATAGTAGTAGTAGCAGTAGTGGTAGTTGTAGACGAATGTCATGAACATAATTTCAATCACATAAATCATCATCAGGCTGTTGTTATTTTTAGCAAGCAAAAAAAAATTTCCAGCAATTAATTCAAATAAATTTTTTTTTTCTGTTGATTTGTTGAAATTTTCATGATAATGATGTGATGATTCATCAAAAAAAAAAAATCATAATTTGCAATATATTTCATTAATGTGCAAGTGTGCGAATTCTTGAATTTAAATTAAGAAGAATTTCAAACAAAAGAACAGAAAAAGCCACCATCCATCCATCCAATCTCTATGGACACACACCCGCACACACAGACTTATTCAATTCCCATAATAATAATCCAACAGAATCGTTATTACCATTAATTACCATTTCCATTTTATATCATTATCATCATCATCATCATCATAATACGATTAGATTTGATATAATGATGATAAAACACTCAACACACAACACACACATACACACACACACACACTTTCAACATTTATTCAATATCCGGATTTTCATATCATAAAATCATCATCATCATCATCATCAACATCATCGTAAAAAGGTTGGCTGCACTTTCATTCTATTTATCTTTATCTCTATCTCTATCGGTGTGCATGAATGAATTATATTTTGTTGTTGTTGTTGTTGTTGTTTGCATGTTCATTGTATTTTTCCAAATGGATGATTTTTTCTCTTTTCAATTCAATTTTTATTCTTGGATTCTTCTCTTTATTCTCTCCATATCTTTCATACACCATTCTCGTATGTGTCTGTGTTTTTTTTTCTGTTCATCATTCTATTATTCTTTTATATTCTATTTTTCTATTTATTTGTCATAATAATAATTTTAGATTTTAACAGCAATAGCGACAAGTTTACTACCAGATATCATATATATATATACTATAGTAGTAGAATGCAAATATAGAAAAAAAAACTGGATGAATGAATAGAATAGAATCAACAACAGAATGATTATCGTGCTGTAAACTTAAAATCCAACGATCAAAAAAAAAATTCCATTTCTAGATTCTAGGTTGTTTTTTTTCCTTGGAATACAAAATAGAAAAATCAATGGACCATCATGTGTGTGTGTAAGTGTTTTTTTTTATTTACAATGATTCGATTGTCGTCATTATCGATGATGATGATGGTGATGAACGAGTGTTGATTTTCGTTTCAAAGGAAATTTTTTTTTACGAAATTCTGTTCGAAAATCTAATATTTGACACCTTTTAATACAAACAAACAATGTACAATCGATGAATATATTAAGCAGATTAAGTGGTTGATTTTGATTTTGTACTAACATTTTATTTATTTATTTTTTCTCTTCCCCAGTAACAGAATTGCTTTGTTGTTATTCCATTGAAAAAAAATAAAGAAAAGAAAAAATCAATCTGTCAATTGGTGGATTTCAAAGAAAAAAAGACGAAAAAAATACATTTTATGTGTGTGTGCGTGGGTGGATGTGTGAAAATCTTTATTGATTGAAAATGATCATCGAATGAAAATGAAAAAGAAAAACATCATAAATGACCACAAACAAGGTTCAACGTACTACTAAATACTACTACTACTACTACGACAACGGCGACTACTACTACAAATTGTTAATAATCTATTCAATCGATTATAAATATTCGAATGAAATGAATTTTTCTTTGGAAAAAAAAATTGAAAATAAAAAGAAACAAAACGAAATGGAATTTGTTTGTCATTTTGTATGCATTGTTTTCATTATATTCATTTCTTTTCATCATCATATACATCTCACATACACACACATTCTTCAAATAAATTCATTGGAAACGAAAGAAAACTTGCTACTTGCAGAATTTACGTCATGAATTTTATTACACCATCCATTCATACACACACACACACACACACACACACACAAATTAGATTCAGTTGACTGAAATGGCCAATCGACCAAGCAACCGAAAAAAAAGAAAAGAAAATTAAGTGCGAACGAAGAAAAAAAAATGAATATCCTATGACGATGATGTATACCAACTACTATATTAAACACAAAATGAAAAAAAATTAGTTCCAAAAAAAGTTCCAGGAGAACCAGAAGAAAAATGGAAAATTGTCCAGCCAATTCAACCGTGTGATGATGATGATGATGATGATGATCCATCTCTTGTATTTGTGTGTATGGCGGACCGAAAAAAATGAATTGTACAAAAAAAAAATGTACAAAAAGCTCTTTGTCATTCATTTTCATCTTTTGGATCCTATAGATTAATAGAACTTTTTTTTTCGTTCTCTAGATTCGATAGATTGAACAACCTGGTTTTGGATCAGTTTTGATCATCATCATCATCATCATTGGATTCTTTCTTTATGGAGAAAATTGGATTTTTTTTGTCCCTATTTCCATTGCAAATCATTGAATGTATTATGTATGAATTGCAAAAAGAAATTGTCAAAATTGCCAATGGCGTCAAATTTGATGATGATGATGATGATGATTTTTCCGAAAAAGAAAAAGAAGCAGAATCCATACAATCGATGAATCATTGATAAGAATTTGAAGAATACAAAAAAAAAACAAGATCACTGACACACACACACACACACACACACAAATGGATGATATGAAAATTACCTTGTCCTTGGCCAACAAAAAAAAAAAATTAGGTCGTTATCAGCCATTTCATTTGTACAATTTTGTTTTTTTTCCACCCACGAAAGCACCAAAAAACAGGTAATAAAAAAAATTACCTATAATTATTCATTTATCGAAAAAAAATGAAAATAATTCATATATATGCGTGTCATTTCTGTTGTCGTTGTCGTTGTTGAATTTGACATTTTCACTTTTTTTTATGCTGTTAACAAATATAAAGATTTTGCAACCGAAACTGTATCATTCATATGGTGATTACTTTTTTTTCGTCTACCACACACACAAACACACACACACACATTGCCATTGTCAATGCCAACAAAGAGCAAAAAAAAAATTCAAATCGAAAAAGGAATCGAACCAAATCAAATCAAACAAACCAACCAACCAACCAAGCAAGTAACCAACCACCACTAACCGCTAACAACCAGTGGGGAAAAAATTGATTTATCAATGGAAAAAAAAATTCATAATAACCTTGTCGCATTGATTCACGTGGTTCACATATATATAATGACGTTCTAATGGTAATTGGAAAAAAAATCTTTTTCAGCGAAAACAACAAAAAAAAATGAAAAATCTTTTCAGGAAATTAGTTAGTTAGAAACGCAGTTTACTACCCACTCACCCACCACCACCACTCAAAACCAGTCACCACCACCACCACCACCACCACTTTCACCAAATATCGAATTGAAAAAAAGCAAAAATTTTCTTTCTTGGATTGCCTAATCATCGTTTTTTTCCTTTTAAATTTGTCAATTTTTCAAAATTGTTTTTTTTTCTTTTCATTCATTTTTTTTTCGATTGAAAAAAAATGCATTGTAGGTAAGTCAACTTTTTTTTTCTTTGAATTGTTTTTTCTTTTTTTTGTTGCTGTTTCGATCGTTTTTGTTGTCAAACAAAGAGAAAGTTTGTACCATTTTTTTTCAAATAATTCCATTTCAAGCGGTTTTTTTTTCATTCCACAGAGTATTCACATTGTTCATTCGGAATGAAATGAAAAGAAGAAGAAAATGTCAACTGTTTTTTTTCTTTGGCTTTTATAGAAAAGTTACCATACTGTTCAATATCCTGTGGTTTTTTCTCTTGGTTCAATAGTAACCAGTCGATTTTCTTGTCATTATTTCTAATCATCATCGATAATGATGATTATATTGATTTGAATTCGGTTGGAAAAAAAAAAAATTAGACAAGCAAAAGTTTTTCATAGAATTTTTTAAACAGTTAAAAATTTTTTTTTTTTTTTTTTTTGGGAAACTTTTTCTCATTGATTTGAAAAACGAATGTAAACCAGAATGATGATTTTATGATTTTATTTTAAGATATCCGTTTTCAATTTTCCCATTTGAAACAAAATGGAGATTGGGAAAAAATCGATATAATCATAATAATAATGGGGAAAATTTGCTTCGCTGTATTCA